TTTTCATTGAGCACCAAACTGTAATGAAATTTGACAGATCTGACATTCTATACCCAACATCTAGTTAGAATATATTAACCTTTTAGTTTTCTTGAGCTCCTCTCCTACTAGTTATGAATCTCCTTATTAAGGGGTTGCAGTGGCTCTGGAGATAGCAGGAAAGCGGCATCTTCTGCATGCCCTCTAAAGCTGAAACCCAAAATACATAATTCAAATAGTAAAGGAAATGCAGGGCTTTTAACACCTCCTAAATTCTTCTACAAAAAAACCCTGTGCTAGTAATAGAAATAATCATTGGTCCTTTTTGTTAATATTTAATTCTATGAAGAAAAAAGAAAATAATAGTACGGTATTCCACCCCTGCGCACTCAGTATTTTCTGTGTATGTTTTGTATCCCCACCCCAATGAGGCAATGATGCCTTTGATCCAGCAGCATCCAAACTCACTTTGTGATTTGAAAGAATACTTTCATTTCAAATTATATGAATTTACATTTTCTTAGATGGTACAGATTAGTCCAGGGCATGATTCCTCCTTTCCCTCTAAAGGCTTATCTCAATATATGCTTGATATTGGCTTTTTTAAACACCCTGCTCAGTCCTTCTTGAGGTCATGGTGGGGGACAGGGAGATATCATGCATGAAGAGCATGTTGAAATGTTGAACTGAGTTATGGTCACAGATTAGGAAATAGTTGGTTATATTTAGACTTAAAAATAAATCTGGTTTATGTTCCTTTGTGTTTTGGTTTGATAGGGAATAATTTTTACTAATTTTTAAAAAATGTTTGTATGTGTCATTCCTTCGCCTTCAGTCCTTTCATCTGTTCCTCCTGTTTCTTTCAGACATGAAGTCACAGCACTGTCTGTGATGTCAGTGTGTTTCCATATTGACAGACCGTTCTGTCAGAAACAAGATCTTGATGCTTGTTTCAGATGAGGGAAAAGGGGAATACAGATGGTAGGAAGAAAATCAGAGGAGTGAGAGGGGAGCAGGGAGAAACACACGCAACAGAGCTACAGGGGGAATGCAGAGTCCAAACCCAACTTTTCCTGCAGAGGGCAAAGGACTACTTTCCCTGGGTTCAGGAAAATCATCCAAAATGTGTGTGTAACATTAAGCAACCAGTAGAAGCTTTACCATTGCGCTGGTTTTGGCTTGGGAGTCCTTGAAGGTGCAGCAGCAGTGGTCACATGCTGCTTCTCTCCTTGTTTATGCCTTCAGCAACAGCAGATCCTCTTGATTGGAGCCAGGATTACAGGATTTCCAAAAGCTAGAGCATACTCGTTGTCAGCAACTTTGCATCAGTTCAGAGGCTACCCAAAAATCAACTGCCTCCTCTCACGTGGCTCTTGAATTAATTGTCACTGTTCGAGATAAGGAAATCCTCCTTGTAACTCATCGAAGTTGAGGCTTCCCAAGGAAAACGCCCCCAAAATTAGGAACAGATCTAAATCACTGTTGCAATGAGCTGAAAAGGTTCTGAGCAACTGCAACTGGAGAAGCAGGGGGAGGTAAAGGGAACAAAGAGAGGGTTAATGAGCAGTGGGTACCATGCAAGTAATAGATAATCTAATAACAAGGTCTAAGATCCGAAAGATGTGTCTGGCACTGGGAACTGCCCGCAGTTCTGCCGCGTTTCTTTTACCGATGTGAACAGTAGAAGCCAACATTTGGAGAAGCCACCCACTATGCCAACATTTCTAATGCTCTCATGCATTCGGTTTCCAGTAGACTGTAAAATGCCAGCTTGATACAGTCATCTGAATCAATATACTTTATTAGCCTTTTTTTAGCATCCTTTCCTGGTTCCGTGCACTTGATAGGAACAACAATATCCTCATCCAAACTTGTGGCTAAGGGAAGATAGAGGGGCTTGCTTGTGCTGTGTGAGATGTGGCAGGTAACTCTGCTCAACAATTAAGCAAATTATTTGTGGATAGTTGGCCACTTCTCCAGTAGGAAGTTGGAGAGAAACTGGCAAGTACTTCAGTGCATTGCTTGAGGCCTAAAGCTGTCAGAAAACAAATCTCCTGCAGCCCACAACACACACACCTAACTTATTTCCAACTTGAAATACCACTCTATACTGCAAGCATTTTTATTTTGCAGCTGTATCTGCACAAATGTCGATGCCACATGAAGGCTTTCTCTTCCTTTGGAACAGATCTGATTTAGAAGCAAATATCTTTGTTGCTTATTAGTCTTTGGAAGGCATCGTTTTGTCCCAGCACTATTCACAGGGAGTGTTGTGCAGAATGCTGATTGACAAGAGTTAAATTCAAAACATGTAGCCATTTTCTGGTGTGTGGTTTTTTTCCTGATTGAAGGAAAACTACTTAGATGTTTGTTTCCAAAACGGCATCTGTCAGCAATCAAAGGGGAAAAATTGCATAAAACAAATGCAATTGTTTGGAGTAGCATTTCCTGGATCATGTTAAATGCTTGATTTGCTCCCCATTATGCTCACCAAATAATTTTATTTTCCACAATAATTGCAATATTTAACATGTTGTATTTAATCTTGTTTTAATGCTATTAACAACAGCCGCTTATGAAAGGAGTAATTGCTCTACGGGTAAGAACCCACCATCCCCAGCATCAGAACGAACAATGGCAAAGTTAACTGCACCTAATTGTTCTGAATTTAAAACACTGTTAACCAACAGCACTCCTCATTTCTTTGCACATAACCACTCCGCTGTCAGGAAGGAAATGGTTTCATGCTTCTGTCATTCATAATCTGAAAAGTGTATGTTCTAAAAAAAATATTTAGTTGGTGTGTTTACAATTAATATTGGGAGGTAAAATCATATGTTGGTATAGGAAGAAGTGGTTAATACAGCAATTCAGAGAAAGTTTGTCAGTAGATCTCTAACTACATCAGGTGCTAAAACCCCATATAGAATACAGATTTATCAGAACTTGCCCAGAATTACATGCAGAACAACTGAGTATGAAATACTAAATAAATAATAAGCAGGCCTGGTAGGATGATGGGTTTGAGAGGTAGGAGCAGAGAGAGCAGCAGAAAATTGAATCTGACACCAATTCAATGGCTGATTGTTACTAAGAGTTTTGTTTTATATTTTGTGTGACTATTTGGAGAGGGAGGGTTTTTTTTCCAATAAGCAGTGAGACTGAAAGGACAGGTAGTATTAGCAAACCTGCAAAAACAGAAGACAATAAATACTTTGGCTAGCCAGAGCAAGGACAGTTCCTGGCACAGTGTCCATTTTTTTTTCTGGACTCAAAATAAAACTTAACACTTCCCATGCTAGTCAGTCCCTTTCCTGTAAATAGCAGTGGGATTGTACCTGCTATCTGGAGCTAAACTGCAAATTGGGATGCTGTAGTAGCATAGATCATTCACTGATGTGTAATCCAAACAGATTGTAAGACTGGGGCAAAAAAACCCCAAACTCCTGCATATTACACTAGCAGTTCATGCTTACACTAAATCATTTGCTTATCATCTGGCACATCACAGAAATGCAAGGGTATTATTGAAGCTCAGTAAAAGTTAGTTCTGTCCTGTACTGAATGGCAGTTCTGTAATCTGTGTAGCTCAGAATTACAATTTTGCTGTAGCCAAATAGTCAAACAACAGTTAATACACAAAATAATCCAAACAAGAATTGTGCACCCACAAGCTCCTCTTTCTCACACAAACAGAAACAAATATTGTTTAAAATCGAGTGGATGTTTTTAATACATTTTCCTCTTGTGTCCAAATCACAAAAAGATTTGTGGAGTGTAGCTGATTCTGAGTGAGCGAGTTGTATCAGCCATAGCTCCGCAGCCCTAAAAAATATTCCTGGTGAGAGTGTGTTTGCCAGTTCAGAAGTTCATTTTTTCGAGCACTTGAGGAAAGGCTCTACTGTATAGGCTGGAGTGCCCTGTCAGGGACTGTGGTGGTCACAGCCGAGCAACCGTCGCTCCGTGTGACACAGCGGGGTGATTTAAATGGAAAGCATTCACTGCCTGCTTAATAGTCAGCTGTCACAAAAGTAATACTTCAGTTGGGTTTACAGTGCACCAGGAGAAGTGGGAAAATGAGATGAGAAAATCGATGATTATCTCTGGCTTTGCTAGTCAGGAAAAGATTTTAAAATCAGACAATAACATGATTTCATAACTTTTCAAAGCAGTTTGTTTTGGGGCTGTCTTTTCCCAAGTTATCTGTCAATTCCTCAAGAAAATTTTGAATGTGGCAGAGAAGTTTTGCAGGAGGGAGAAACAAACCTCTGTGAGTTTGGCAGCTGTCACCTGATGGCATTAAGAAATGTAACATTAAAAACCACATTTAAAAAATATTGTAGCAAAATTATATTTTACAAATCTATGAAAAGGGGACTGTTCAGCTCTTAGAGGGCACTTTGAACCTTCATATGAAAAGTCATTCATTCAAATAATATCTATAAGATCTGATATCTAAAATCAAGAAGCAATAAATAGCCAAAACTTGAGCGTCTCAAAAAAACATGAAAGATCATTTGATTCCTTCAGAAAAAGTCTATCACTGGATCGAGAAATTAACTTGGACAGTTTATATTTTTGTTTTGCCTTTCGCTGCTTTAATTATTATATGCACATTATGAAAGAAAGAAAGAAAGACGCAATCTTTTTTCTTTTTTTGCTCTGTCTTTTCCCCCCCAGTCACGTACATGAGAAAAGTAGCTGCGATAAACAGATACTGAATCAGACTGAAAGTCTTTAAAAAAAAAACACCCAAAACATTGCATGATAGTCTCTAAGCAGTTCCATCTGTCAAGCAGAAATTTTAGGCTAATAGCCTGTGGCGATCTCCCTCCACAGTCCACTACCTGCCTTTGTCCTATTAAATCTCTTTATTCTTCTTAAAAAATAAAGAAGAGGAAAGAAAAACCTTGCAGACCAAAATCATCTGAGTGATGAAGCCCTAATTTTGACCGCCTCTCTTTGATGTTGAGCAGTGGGTTCTTATTTAAAAAAAAAAAAAAGAGTGAGTGAGAGGGGGGGAGAGAGGGAGAGAGAGAGAGAGAGGAGAAGACAGTGCTAGGAGCAGATGACTTTTCATCTCCACTTCACCTTGCCACTGGGTCTGTGAGAGATTGGTTCATTGTCAAGGAGATTTTTTTTTTTTACCCATGATTCCATATGGTATGGACCGGGCTACATGTTGCCCAACATGCCAGTGCAAATGTTTTCTCAATTAGGTGTCTTATCTCCCGTGAGTTAGCATCAGATGAAGCTTGCTGACAGCATAATGGCAGGGAAAACCTCCGACGGCTCCATCAAATGGCAGCTCTGCTACGACATCTCGGCCAGAACTTGGTGGATGGTGAGTTGGCAGCAGGGCTGCTTTTTTTTTTCTCCCTTTTCTACTTTCCCTCCCTCTTTGACAAAATGTCCCAGACCTCACATTTATCAAATTAACATTTGATTTTTTTCACACTCTTCAGTAGAGCAACCTCACACTTGTCCCACTTGTGTGCTTTCCCCTGTGTAACAGGAGACTGTTAATGTGCACTACAGTTTCCAGAGGAAAGCTTTTTCAATTCTCCTTAAGGGAAAAAAAAAAAAAAAAAAGTATGCAAAGAAGTAGTTTGAAAAAGCCTTGTTGTGCAGAGTAACTTGTCTCAGTCGGTCGCCTAACGCTCAGTTTGTTTTATTTTATCTGCTGCTTTCCAGCGTCCGTGTGCGCGTGCATTTTTTAGCATGCAGTATTTAGTAAAAAGGGAAGGTGGAAAGTTCAGTCTGTTACAAAGCGAGTCGATCCCTGTAAAAGCCTGGAAACGGTGCGGTCGTGGCGTGGTGTAAAATCATCACGTGTGAGAGGAGCGCGGTTTGCGAGGTGCTGCCGTTCATCCGAGACCCCGATCTAACTTTTCCCTCCGCTTGTTTGCCTTAGAACAGGTTCCCGGGCTGTGCTGACCTGGAGCCATGTGTTACAGATCCCACATAGTCTGGCTCTAGCTGCTTTTGGGCACAATTAAAGTTTCAATAAAGTCCCAACGTGCTCCGTAGAACGAGTTAACTAGCATGTCATGGTCAGCCGGGCCAGACAACCTTTGACATCTTGAATCTATAAGAGGTATAGTGAGTTAGGAGGATGCACAATAGCCCATTGTAGCAGAAGATGCAAGTCCTGTTGCGAGGAAGAGAGTCCTCAAATCATTACTGCCCTCGTTAGCGTGTTGTCCGTTAGGGATTAATTCGTTAGCAGCGCATTTTTAGTTTTCTGTAATTATTATTCTTGTGGCAAGCGTGAATTCTTCCAGTGAGAGGAAAAGTTTGCTGCCAGGACAATGAATGTATTATCCGCTCCTAACTGGACCGTGAACCTCAGCTCATTTCACATAGATATCAGTTAAAAAAGGACTGGCGAGTGGAATTACAAAACAAGGCATGATCACTTTCATTGTATGATACGCTGAAACAAGTCGGGGGCTTTCCCTCCCCCTCGCCGCCCCGGACCAATTTTGGTATCATTTGGAAAGTTTAAGACCTCAGAGGACTTGAAAGACTTTTAAAAGTGAGATCCGGAAGGATTTTATTCTGCAGCTTGGTGGTAGCCATTGTGTATATCATGTGGCTTGTATTTAAAGGTGTTTGGGCTCGGGGTTTTCCGTTGTTTTTTTTTTTTTTTTTTTCTAAACTCTTAATTTTTTTAAGCGTCTATTAGAGGTTTGCCAGCGGTTGCCAGTGAAATGTAACATGCAGTGTTTGGTTAATGGGACTAGGGAAGGCTAACCACTTTACTTATAGTACTGATTTTCCAATTAGACTTTCTGCCAGGAGAAGTTGGAGGGGGAAGGGGTATTTGCATGCACATAAACTGTTGATTATTCATGTGACTTTTTTTAGCTTGCTAAACCCCTGTAAATAAGACTATTGATTTTTACTTATCATTTTCAAAACAAAATTTTTCAAGTACCTGTTTTAGCCACAAGATTGATATATGCTGTGATTTTGCCTTATTCCAAGCCATTTGTATATTTTATTACCACTCCTCTTTTATTGTCTATCGGCTGCTTTTATGATGAGGTACGTCCGTGTTTATTATTTAATAAGTATCCTCAAATGTTACTAGGCAGTTATTAGCACTCTAGAGAAAGTGTCCAAGGAAGTTTCATTTCAGTCACATCTATTTCACAGATGTTTTAGTGCTGTGAATATAATATGTAAAAATCCTGGAAACATTTAGTAATGCACTTGCCTAAAAATAAACAGTTTTATAACCACACATGCTGTTGTTTAGATTAAACATTGCAGAAAGTTCTCCTTAAACTTGAACGTCACACCATTTATTTTCTAACAGAAAAAAAAATCACTTAAATAGCCTTTTTTTGTAGAAGTTGTGGTAGATAAGAGACGTTATTTTTAGCTGAAGTGAATAATTCAAGATCTTTACAATAGATGTGTTAATTGCAAATAATTTCCATACAAAGTTTCAATTATTGATGGAGTAATAAGCAGTTTTTCATACATTATGAATCTAAAACACGCAACAAAAATAGATTTTTTTTACCCCCCCCCCAAAACCTCATCCCATTTGCCACATTCTTTTCATCAAAAGTAAGCTAGAGAGCAGATTTTAATGTTTTAAAGACAAATAAAGCTTTGAAAATTACCTCATGCATCGTCTGGCTGCACAAAATCTCAGCTGCACAGTGCTAAACTTCGGTTTGGTACTGCCAGCATACAAAGAGATGAGTGAATACCCCTTGCACCCATATGGACTCAGCTGCCAGCACTGGGATATGCAATTTTGCTTTTTAATGAATCGTAAACAATTTGTGTGTCAGGCGAGGGAGTTTGTTTTTTTCCTGGAGCAGGTTCTAAATCCATTTGAAGCTATAGCTGTGTACTGTACTGGAGCATTATGCCCAAATTTAAAGGTTCTGTGTCACTGGGATGAAAAGACCTGTTATAATGAAAGAAACGGCTTTATAAAAGGCTGGGTGTAGTAATCTCTCTCTTTCTTTCTTTCTTGCTTTCTTTCTTTCCCTCTTTCTGTCTCTCAACCTCACACTCTCCCTCTTTCACCCCAGTCTATAGCATGTTTATAGCCAGCTCTGGAGATAATGGAGATTGGTTGATTGCATGATTAGTAAAATGAATGGATTTTAGCATTGGGCAAAGCAGCTTGCAATTTTGAAAGGTGGCTTTAAATTGCAGAGTTCTAATTTTGACCTTATTTTCTTTCATAGATAATCTTTATTAATGCTCCTTTAATTCATTTTTCCTCATCACAGCTAGTTTTTCTCCCCAGCCATCTGATGGAATGGCTAATATATTTTATCTTACTTGCCAAAATAGCAAGAAGTCAAAGTAAAAGAAAAAATGTTATTTCTCTTTCTTGTAGACAGTTGTAAATGTTTCTAACTATTTCAGCAGAAGCTGCAGGATTTGTACATTTCAGTAATAATTGCATATGTCTTCACTGTTTTAAGGCACTCTTACACCAAATCTACTTTTTTAATGCTTTAATCAAGTAAATGCAGTAACAGTTATTAGTCTGTCTATATTGTAATGTGGCATTTTAGCATGAAAATTCCCCAAAATAGAGTAAATTTGTGTAAGAATGAGTTATATTTATTTTTAAAATATATATAAAATAGCAAACAATTTAACTGATATAGGAGCCTGAAGATACGAGGTGAATTTGTTGGAAAAATTATCATTATTTTGTTTTCATTGACATTTTCAATTGAAATTTGCTGCTGTCATAGAGACACTAAAGGGTTAGTCATAGAAAAGTTTCAGTACTCTGTCTTGCATTTGTAACAAATATGTGCAGCTGTGCTACTTTTATAAACATTTATTTCAGGCTGATTATTTTTTTAAATTATTTGCTCTAGCAAGCCAGTATGATGTGACCATAATATGTTTAATAAGGGATTGTCTGCAAAATTCCTTTGCACGGGGTTATTGAAATAGATGTGCAGCAAAGGTATATACTGGAGGGAAAATCCTCCATGGCAAAACAAAACTAAAGATCCCAAATTGGGCCAAGTTCTTCTCAAGGTTTATGCTGCCACCAGCCTGAAGTTGCTGCGTTGGGAGGAGTGGAGCAACTCCAGGTTTGCTCACCTGAGCAACTGAGTTCCAACCTGGACCCATAACTTGAGTTATCTCTGTCCAGTTTCAAACCCCTAAACTGTGCTCTTTGTGAGACATCTGAAGGGAAAAAAAAAGTCTCATTAATAAATAAGAAGCCATTTCAAATGACTCCATGTATGAGCAAACTGCTGTTATTGAATGCGACAGTTAAAGCAGATCTTCCAGTCATTTCCAAAATAATTATTTTCTAATTTTACTGTCCTGCTCTCGATCCACAGTTCAGCGTGAATGTCTTTATTTTCTGTCGAAGCCATGAGTGAAACCAGAATTTATTAAAAATAGGCAGCCTAGATTTAAAATGGTCATTTAATTGCTTTAAAGATTCTTAACATCATTTTTTTACTGAAGCTTTTGGTGACTACCTTTCTTCCACACCTCTGTTTATTCAGAGGAATAGCTGGAATTGCTCAGGTAATTAATGCAATTTAAAAAAATATGAAAATGTCAAAATGTTGCTAGGATTTCCATCAATTAAGAATTAATAGAATCCTCACTATAAATCTCATTGCAAATGAAAATAAAAATGATGGCGCATCTAATAGGCATTTAATTTCATCATATGGAAAGTTAATTGGCACTGCCAAAATACGCAAAAAAGTATTTTTTGTTTAAATCACTGAGCGTATCTATGCACACTCTTAGTCCAAGTTTATCATGGTAATCCCCACATGCTGTTGAACTGTCTGTGGCTTTGCTGATTTGTGCTTCTTACTTATGATTTACAGTATATCAAAAGGCATACATGTAGCAATAATTATCCTGCTCCTGCCCCTATAAAAATAACAAAGTGTGAACAGTGTAACATTGCGGCATGGATTTCCTTTGTTTTATACAGTAACTCTTGTATGTTCATATGCTGCTCAGCTGCTGTATAAATATTTTTAATAAAATTATTCCTTCTCTATCAGAGTTGCTAAATTCTCTGTATAGCTTAAACACTTTAGTGCATTATTATATATACTCTGTAATATCTTCTTTTTCTATAAGTGGCCTCCTTTTGCTTACAAGTATTTGTCTTAGTTGTTTTCTACTCTTTTTCCTTCACCTGTCCTGAATATTGCCATGAATGTTTCTAATTTAAAGCCAGAGGAGTCAGTGGCTGATTAGAAGACAGGAAATTGGAGGATTAAACTGTCTGGTTGAACTTCCTTTACTTATCAGTACTGTGTAACTCACACTGGATTATAAACTCATTGGGACAATTTCTACAGTGTATCAGTACTTCCTTTTTTCTTAGTCTTTATTTTTGTGGAGAAAGTACAGAAAATGTGGAAAGGGGGCAATTTGCAGGTAAAACCAAATACTTTTTAATAACACTGAAGCACTGGAAGTTTTACTTAAATTTGTACAAATGTCTTGAGGTATGAGAATTCATTCAGTTTTAAGTCATGCAGATCTATAATATAGATTTTAAATTCAGTATGTAAACAAGCAAGCAACAGATACTTTCGGGGAGGGGGAGGGAAATGACATCATTTTAGTAAGAGGAGAATGCGCCATGTTAACCCTTGTTCAACCTCTTCCCCTCAGAAACTTCCACATCTGTTGTGACACGACGGTGTAGCTGTGGGACAGTCTGGGGGAAGGCTGTAAAGAAAAGCCTGTTTATCCAAAAAAAATTTGTCTGGGCTCCCAGCGCTGCCCACTGAGCCAGGAGCTGGAGATGTGACGTCCTCACTCGGCGTTGGCCGGGAGGAGGACCTTGTGGAGGTATCTGTGTCACCAGGAGGAAGGGCACAGCTTTGTCCCCTTAAGGGCCAGCTCATTCTTGCTAGTGATCCCTATGTCTGATTTCCAGAGCTCGTCACCTTGTGAAATCATTGTGATAGCTGGGAAAGCCAGTTACAGCACGATCTGGAGGGTCTGTGTTGTGAAGGATGAGCAGGAGAACTTCCAAGCTCAGTCTATGCTGTACCTGTGGGGTCTCTGTGCTACCACTCACCATCATTTAATTTTACACACTGGACTGAGATCAGAAGGTGTCAAAACTGTGATTAAAACCAGAGGACATAGACACTACCTGAAAGGTCTAACATCTCAATTTAAACTTAATAATGTACACCAGTTTAAACACCAGCACCGGATCTTTAAACGTACTGGGATGCTTGTGATGATTTTTGGCAGTCTGGCCTTTATACTTTTGGCAAGTCCCTCACTATACTGGGAGTATAGTGGAAATGGACATGAAAATATAAGAATATTCTGAAACTTTTTGCTGCAAAGATCCCTGTAGTTTCTGTACAAACAATCTGAAACTTTTTACAAATAAAGAAATAGATATTTGCTTTCCTTAACTTCATATGAGAGAAAAAAGGTAAAATTTTTGGGTTATTAGAAGGTTCCCATGCTTTAATCCCAGAGTGAACAGAATCTCACTGTGCTGCTTGAAGCATCCCTTGCCCTCAGATGTGGTCACTCACACTGACTGATATTTAAAGATTATTGTGGGATGAATAGAGTTGTTTCTCCATTGACATTTGAAGACAAATATCCTGGTACATAACAGCATGGCTTGGACTGATAATATCTTTATTATTTCCATGAGTGTCACAATAAACCTCTTTCACAAGTGATGCAGGTAATAGTTACAGAGCTCATTTCGGGTGCTTAAACTCTTTGTACGTGTTCAAACACACACTTTGCACATGGAATACACTCATACTCTATCCACCCACAAAAAGCAGAGGTCCTGCTACACTCCCAAGAAATTCAACTGATCTTGGAGCAGGAGAAGCCAATCTAAGTGAGGATCAGGTGCTGCATGAGCCTGCAGTGACTCTTTTACACAAAGGTTTTATCCCTTACATTCACCGCAATGGAGATCTCTGGATCTATTTTCCATAGAGGATATTAATGAAGAGTAATTCTCAGTAAGATAAAAATCATTAGAACAGATTAAATAGATGTGTTGACTAGTGGAGTGAGATTCAAAATATTTTGCCTGTATAAGCGTATCTGTTGTTCTTTGGTGGTTTGTTTTTTTTCTTTCAGAGGCTGTGAAACACAAAGTTAGCAATACAAGTAGGGATGGGTGGAAGTGTTGGATAGTACAGATGGCACTATAAGCTTGTAGGCTCTTACTACCCATAATTGCAATGCCCTTGCTTTCAAAGGAGTGCAGGTTGCCCTTGATGTACGCAAACAGCCATATTAATTTCACAACCCAATTGGAGTCACACACACGGATTGAGGTTGTCAATAGGAGCAGTGTGGAAATTAAGAGCACAAACAGTGCCCTCAAATAGGTCTTTCTGCTTTAAACACAACTAACTCAAAAGGCACAGGGTGTACATGGTCACTGACAGGGTATTTTCATAACTGAGAGTCTGTGGGTAAATTACAGAGGAATTTTTCCTTTTATTTATTTATTTTTTTAATCTGAAATTCAATTAGTCTGAACCTGATTCTGCATGGAAATATACTGCATGGTAAAGAAAATGGAAAGTAGAACATGTCTTACTGGTTTATGTCAAGGGAATATAAAGAGTATTCCAAAGTGACCCAAGTTAACCTTTTGTGTTCAATAAGAAAAGTAAAAAGTCTGCCTCATTTGATCATTCAATCAATATTTATATTTACTTTCAAGAACAAATAGAGACAACTTGCATGTGCACTTCTCTTTGCCGAGTTTTTTACTAGAAATTTTCTTTTGTAATTTTATTTGAAAGAGGGTAGGTTAAGAAGAATGGGTTAAATGGATTATTTAGGGCAGTGACTGAAAGGTGAATCACCAGGGTTTTACAAGAGCACAAACGACACAAGTTTTCAAGGATTATAAGCA